TCACTCGATTAATTTTTTAGATTTGAATATTTTTAAATATAATAATAAATTATATTTTAAAACCTATTTTAAAGAAACGGACAGAAACGGGTATATTCCTGTTTATAGCTGCCATCATCCCCAGTGGATAGAAGGTATACCTAAGGGCCAGTTCTCTAGGATTATGAGGAATTGTTCCAGGCTTGAAGATTATATCACACAATCAGATATAATTAAAGAAAGGTTTATTCAGAAGGGCTATAATCCAGAGAAATTGGAAAAAAAACCAGATATAAAATTAGCCGTGATTATTTGGGAGAAGGAAAAATTAAGAAAGAAAATGTGATTATAAGAAGGGATGGCAAGATAGCAGATTTTGCTTTTATTTCCCGTTTAATTGCCATTATAAAGACATAGAAAATATTTTTAATAATCATTGGCCGATTTTAATGAAAGATGCTACTTTAGGGACCCATCTTCCAAAGAAACCGTTGTTCATATATAGGAAAAAAATAATAATCTTAGGAATGTCCTGGTAAAAGGAGTTATTTCACCTCCCAAGTCAAAAGGTATGAAATTGTTCGATTTTAAAGGATTTTATCCATGTAAAAAGTGTAACGTGTGTAAGATCACAGGCAGTAAAAGTAAAATTTCTGGGTTTGAATCTTTTAATACGGGGAGAAAAATTTACAATTGAGAAATTCATCACTTGTGGTACCAAAATATGTGACATATCTGTTGGAATGTCCCTGTAAATTACAGTATATAGGGAGAACAAAAAGGACCCTTAGCGATAGAATTAAAGAGCATGTGAGAAATATCGCGAAAGGGAAAAAGAATCATAGTGTGTCGAGGCACTTTAAGGAATATCATCGGTCAGACCCTAGTGTCCTTAAATTTTGTGGGATAGACACAGTGGAAGCTCATTGGAGAGGGGGAAATAGGGTCCAGATGTTGTCCAGGAATGAAACATTTTGGATTTATCAGTTGCGCACTCTAAAACCTAGAGGTTTAAATATCGATTTAGATCTAAACTGCTTTATTTCAGATTGGTAAAAATAGGCCATTGGAATATGTAATAAATTTAGGGGAAGGTTTTTCTGGTGTGAGATAAGGATATGAGTTATCTTCTGACTGGCAGTGGATTGTTTTTTAGCTTATTAAATTTTTTCTTAAATTGGTTCCTTAGATTGGAGGTTATAGGATATTATCTAGGGATGGGGTTTCTGATTGAGGAAGAAAACAACAAAAAACAAAAAATAAAAAATAAAATAGAAAGTTTTATTGCTGATATTTAATATGTAGTGGAAGATTTATTTTTTAAAAAATTATATTATTTATTTATTTTATTTATTTTTGTACATTTATTTATATTGCCCATTGGGGTTTTGTTGGGGGAGATGTATTGATTAATAAGAAGTAGAGAAGTGACTCATTCAGTTATTTATCAGCTGGGGTTTATATATTTAATGACCAGTAGAGGGTGCCCTATCCATATAGATGATCTGCTTCAGGTTCAATTGAAGTATTTATATTTATATACGGTATGTATATATTAAATCTTATAGATGATTTACTTTAGGTATAGTTTTAAATATTTATATATATATATATATATATTAATTTTAACATTTTAGTTCACTGTATTCTATGGATGTATTTTATCTTATGTGTCTATGGATTTAATAGTATTCCTATAGAAGTATTCGGCGGGATACTGTTTAGGGAAAATCTATTGTCTGTATATGGTTTAATAGATTGAGATATACCTATCTATCGGTTCCCTGTGTATGGGGAATAAGTATGTATTTATTTTATTTTCTGAGCCGTTCGGTTGAGAATGTAAGGCATCGTTAAGATGCCCATAGTTAAAATGGCGGCGGGACGTTTTTTGCCAGTAGCCTTACTGGATAAGAGGAACCGCCGCATGGACGTCTGGATCCCTTGTGAAAAAGTCGGAAGTGACAAAACGCGTCAGGGTCGTGACGTCAGACGCTGTAGCCAGAAGGAACAGCGCGGCCATTTTTGAATTACTCACAACAGCGAACGGACGGGAGCGAGGATGGACGGTATATTCTAAGATGTAAGTTTACTGAATAAAAGTGTGTATTACCTTTTACTCCACTGAGTCTGCTACTATTTCCCCGCGAGGAACGGGGACCTTGGTATCTATGATCTATGGCTGGATGAGGAAAAAGGGATCCCATTGCTTACTCTGAGAGGAAGACGCACCTCCTAGGAAGTTTACCTTGTGGCATATAGGAATCCTAAATGTCTTCTGACCTACAGCAAGAGGGTAATTGCAATTTTATCCCCTAACAGAGTGTGGCTCTATTTTGGCACTACTGTCACGGATTACTGTGGCACGGATCACACTGTGTGGTTTATTTTCACGATTGCAGTGTTGTCTCACTGGACCACTAGTGATATGGTGGATTCACTTTTTAACTATATTTAATTTATGTTTATCACTAGTGTGATTGCATGACATCACTCACAGTATTTTGTATTAAGGATAATGCGCTATATTGTATTTTTTGTTTTTTTGAGGATCTCATGGATTGAGCGGGAAGATTTTGGACACATTTGGAATATTGTTATTTTTGTTTTTGGCTTTTGATTTTGGACTGTGGACTGAGGTGTGGACAATTTGAGAGTGGTGTGGGACTGTGGGAGAGGGTCCTGTATGGATTGTTGAAAAGGTTTATGTTACCAGGCCACATTCCCTCATCATTGAGACGGTGTGCTCATGCCAATGGAAACAAGGGCCTCTTTCCCACAACCCTGGCCCGGTGGTTGTGGGGGTCAGCAGGCAGGGGGGCTCATTAGCATCAGGGTATAGTTTCATAGTTAGTCTGGCTGAAAAAAGACAAAAGTCCATCCAGTTCAACCATTAAAAAAAAAAGTTCAAATCCTACACCCAGCAAAGCATGATCCAATTTGCTCCTGCAGGGAAAAAAATCCTTCCTGATCCCCCAAGAGGCAAATGGATATTCCCTGTATCAACTTTACCTATAAATATTAGTAACCAGTCATATTCTGTGTATCCAAGAAAGAATCCAGGCCTTTTTTAAAGCAATCCACTGAGCTTGCCAGAACCAACTCTTGAAGGAGTCTATTCCACATTTTCAGAGCTCTTACTGTGAAGAAACCGTTCCGTATTTGGAGATTAAATTTTTGATTTCTGATGCTGCCCCCTTGTGATTGAGGTACCCATACACTAAAGGGTTAAATTTAGAAAACAATAAAGAGACCAGTCTTATGAAAAAATCCTTTAATTGAACAAAAAAAACAACAGTTTTTGACAAGTACTTTAATTAAATAAAAAAAAAAGCCCAAAAAATGGTTCCATCATTGTAATCCATCGTCAACGACGGCATCCAGCGTCGTCACAATGGCGCTGACTTGCCAAAATAAAAAAAACTTGATGCCCACTGACCTGTCCACACCTGCTGAGCACTTGTGATGTCACCACTACCTGCGCCCAATTGTGCTGTGATTGGCCAAAGCATTGCACCTGACCTGTGGAATACCTGTGGTCAGGTGCATTGTTTTGTTCAATCACAATGCACTGTGAGAGTTTAGTGCATTGTAAGCAGCAGCACGAAAACAGCCCACTGAACACCCTTTCCTTTCATGTGTTTGGCGAACACACATCAAGTCCATCCCTATTCAGGAGTTAGTGATCCTCTTTGAAACAGATTTCACCTTCTTAGGAGTACAAAAACTAAACATAAGCCTCCTGTTTCTTTAATAACCCTATGAACTCATAGAAAGAAAGAATTCTCGCATCTATGTAAGAGGATGAGGAGGTAGCAAGCCTCTTACTGACTGGTCCTCATAGAGTCCACTGCAGAATGAGGTATATACCAAACTTGACAATAATAACTGTAATCAATTATTCCCCCATCTTCCACTTATTTCTGACAAGACATATGGTAGTTAGAAACCATCTGCTTCTGATCATATTGTGAGAAAACATTACCTGTATGTAGTCCATTGCACTTACCCCCTCATTAGTGTTTTATATGTGTCTTAATTCTTTAGTCATTCAGTGACACACTGTTGCTTTTGCCTTCTTCTGCACAGGACCACACACTTTGACATTGGAGAGGGTGCTGTTTCCAGACTTTGAAACTTTTTTCTCCTTGTGGCACAGGAACATTATCAGAAAATACTTTTACCTTCCTGTGATGTGCTGTCTGTAAAACCCTGTGCTAACATTTCATTCAGTTTGACTAAAGTACCTCCTGCATTCTTTTATATGAACCAGTAAGAAAGTACAAAGTAAATCTACCATTTCATTGAGGAGTAGTTTACACACTTTATAAGATGCTGCTCTGGATTATTTTGCTCCTCCATACTACTGTACCTCACAGTAATTATTTATTTATTGTAATTATAATGTGGATCACTCAGTAGCTGCCTTTACTCCTTTTTTGACCACCCTTTGATTATGTAATATATTTTTTCAATATAGATGACATCCTATGGGCTCCATATGTACACATCTACTTACCTATTTGAAGATATTTTCCTTCCCTTGTGCAGGATCTATTTTCTGAAAATGTCATGCTTGTAATTTTACTATACAACTTTTAAGTGGTCCTCATGCAATACTTATTTTGAACTATTTAACCAAATTGACAAAGACATTTTTACTTTTTATTTAGATTGGTGGCATTATGGTGTCCCTTGTGTTCACTTTTGGTGACTATTGGTTATTTATAATGCTCCTCCCTGTGCTGAGTAGATGATGGTCTACACAGGCTATGCTGTAGAGACGCCGATTTATGCAAATTGTTTTGAATGATTATGACTGATCATTCTGGTAATACACGTATGTATAAATATATTCATATTCCTCAAGGCTACTTAATTTTTATAATGACTGAATCGTAGCTGGATAACATGCATTATATACAGTATCTTTAGATTATGTTCCTGAAGAAGACAATGAATGTTCGAAATGCTTTAAGTTTTCATCTGGACTATTTCATCTGATAATAAGGATTATAGATGATGCAGGCCTTGAAATTTCCACTCGCCTGTTTGCATTGGTGAGTGGAAATTATGGTGGGGGAGAGTGTGTCCCCAAGGCCATCTTGCTGAGCAGGCTCAGAACTCAGGGCTGGATCTGTCACTCGCACTGGGAGCCGTCAGACTGCTCAATAATTGAGCAAAGTGAAAGCAAAGGAAGGAGTTTGTGCTGTGCTCTCTGCCTCCCCCTAGAGTGCAGTACCTGGCTCTGTGAGTGAACGTAATGAAGTACTGCAACTTTTTATAGGGGTGTGTGTGTGTATATTTGTGTGTATGTGTGTGTGTGTGTGTGTACGTGTGTGTGTGTGTGTGTGTTTGTCTGTGTATGCATGTACATGTGTCTGTGTGTATGTACATGTGTGTATTTGTACATGTGTTTGCATGCATGTACATGTATGTGTGTGTTTGCATGTGTCTTTGTGTGCGTGTACATGTGTGTGTGCATGTACGTGTGTGTGTGTATGTACGTACATGTGTCTGTGTGTGGCCGGATCTATCACTCGCACTGGGAGCCGTCAGAATAGTTGAACAAAGTGAAAGCAAAGGAAGAAGTGTGTGCTGTGCTCTCTGCCTCCCCCTATAGTGCAGTACCCGGCTCTGCGAGTGAACGTAAGGAAGTACTGCAACTTTTTATAGGGGTTTGTGTGTGTATTTGTATGTGTGTATGTGTGTGTACATGTGTGTGTGTGTATGTACATGTATCTGTGTGTGTGTTTGTCTGTGTATGCATGTACATGTGTCTGTGTGTATGTACATGTGTGTATTTGTACATGTGTTTGCGTGTATGTACATGTATGTGTGTGTTTACATGTGTCTGTGTGTGCATGTACATGTGTGTGTGTGTCCATGTACGTGTGTGTGTATGTACGTACATGTGTCTGTGTGTACATGTGTCTGTATGTATGTGCATGTGTCTGTGTGTATGTACATGTGTCTGTGCGTGTGTATTTCTGTGTATGTACATGTGTCTGTGTGTATGTACATGTATGTGGGTCTGTGTGTGTATACATGTGTCTGTATGTGTGTGTATGTGTGTACATGTGTCTCTGTGCGTGTGTGTACATGTTTCTATGTGTGTATGTGTATGTACTGTGTCTGTGTCTGTGTACAGGTGTCTCTGTTTGTGTGTCTGTATGTACATGTGTCTGTATGTAAACCTACAGTTGCAAGAAAAAGTATGTGAACCCCTTGGGATTACGTGGAGTTTTGCATGAATTGGGCATAAAATGTGCTCTGAACGTCATCTAAGTCACAACAATAGAAGAACACAGTCTGCTGAACATAATACTACACAAACATTAGATGTTGCCATGGTTTAATTGCACATAACATGTAAACATTCACAGTGCAGGGAGGAAAAAGTATGTGAACCTTTGGACTTATTAACTGGTTGACCCTCCTTTGGAAGCAATAACCTCAACCAAACGTTTCCTGTTGTTGCAGATCAGACCTGCACAATGATCTGGAGTAATTTTGTACCACTCCTCTTCACAAAACTGTTTCAGTGTAGCAATATTCTTGGGATGTCTGGTGTGAATCGCTCTCTTAAGGTCATGCCACAGCATTTCAATCGGGTTGAGGTCAGGACTCTGACTGGGCCACTCCAGAAGGCGTATTCTGTGCTGTTGCAGCCATTGTTTTGTTGAATTACTTGTATGTTTTGGGTCATTGTCCTGTTGCATCACCCATCCTCTGCAGAGCTTCAATTGGCGGACAGATGGTTGTACGTTTTCCTGCAAAATGTCTTGATAAACTCTGGAATTCATTTTCCCATCAATGACAACAATCCGTCCAGGCCCTGAGGCAGCAAAGCAGCCCCAAACCATGATGCTCCCTCTGCCATGTTTTTACAGTGGGGATGAGGTTTTGATGTTGGTGTGCTGTGCCTTTTTTTCTCCACACATAGTGTTGTGTGTTCTTCCCAAACAACTCAATCTTGGTTTCATCTGTCCACAGTATATTTTGCCAGTAGTGCTGTGGAACATCCAGGTGCTCTTTTGCAAACTTCAATTGTGCTGCAATATTCTTTTTGGACAGCAATGGCTTCCTCCGTGGTGTCCTCCCATGTACTCCATTCTTGTTTAATGTTTTCCTTATTGTAGATGTGTCAACAAAAATGCTAGCATGTGCCAGAGATTTCTGTAGGTCTTTAGCTGACACTCTGGGATTCTTCTTTACCTCATGCAGCATTCTGCTCTGTGCTCTTGCAGTCATTTTTACAGGACGACGACGCATAGGGAGAGTAGCAACAGTGCTAAACTTTCTCCATTTGTAGACAGTCTGTATTACCGTGGACACATGAACATCAAGGCTTTTGGAGATACTTTTGTAACCCTTTCCAGCTTCATGCAAGTCAACAATTCTTGATTGTAGGTCTTCTGAGAGCTCTTTTCTGCAAGGCATGGTTCACATCAGACAGTGCTTCTTGAAACCAGTAAACCCAAAACAGGTGTGTGTTTTCTAAGGGCAGGACAGCTGTCAGCAACACATCCAATATCATCACACTGATTGGAGTCAAGGTTGGCTCACTCCTGGCTCCAATTAGCTCTGGGAGAAGTCATTAAGCTAGGGCCTCACATACTTTTTCCTCCCTGCACTGTGAATGTTTACATGTTATGTGCAATTAAACCATGACAACATCTAATGTTTGTGTAGTATTATGTTCAGCAGACTGTGTTCTTCTATTGTTGTGACTTAGATGACATTCAGAGCACATTTTATGCCCAATTCTTGCAAAACTCCACGTAATCCCAAGGGGTTCACATACTTTTTCTTGCAACTGTACATGTATGGGTGGTTTGGTCAGGTTTAGGATTATGTGGTTATTATGAGTGGTAGAGGATGGGGCACTTGGGGTACTGCTGGGTTGGATAGTAGGTAGGATATGCTTGGTAGAGTTATGGTTTTGTGAATGAAAGATTATGAGGGGGGTTATGGTTGTATGCGGTGCATGGTCTAAGTATGATGGAGTGTTTAGGGGGACATTCGAGGCCCTGATGTAATGTGGGGGGACTCTGGGGACCCTGACGTAATGTGGGTAACATTTAACAGTGTCATTTCATGAAATAATTTACGAGGGCGTGTTTAGGGGCAGAATTAGGGGTGTAGCAGGGTAGGGGTTGGATGGGGCAACTGGTGGCGAGTAACTCTTAAGGCCTGGCTAGTAGCTCAGGACTTGAAATTTTAAGCCCTGGATGATGGATATGTCAATCTTCTTCTGTAATATGGAGATATGGTCATATCTCATCATCATAGCTCATGGTGTCGACTCACATAATAAGTGAGCACATAATGCATTTTTGGCATATTAGCAGGTTGGTTTACGTAGTTGAAGTGTGTTTTATGGTGTACAGGACACCAGGGACACCTGGAAGATTGATATGTTTCCCCATAATTTGGGCTGTGGACCTTTCAAAAGGGAGAAAAAGAGGCACAGTTGGAGTATCCAGGGTTTTTTAACCAATTCAGGTTGGGGGGGGGGGGTCAGATAGAGAGAGAAAACTGATTTCCAGCTATTCGTTTTTACAAAGTAATTTGGCTGGTGATTCAGAACCCAGAAAATCACAATGGGAAATCAACTGAGGAAAAAAATGTTTTTTTTTTTTTACACAATATTGTCACTGAGATATTTCTCTCACATGTCATCATTATATGTGGAATTACACTGCAAAGCACATTCTGACCTTTCTTCCAAGCATGTGAAATAACACCCCAAAGCATTCTGATCTTTCTTCTGAGCATGGGGATACCACATGTGTGAGACTTTATTTTGGAATCTAGACGTGTACAGGAGACCAGAACCAATGAATTTCATCAGGCTTTCAAAGAGCATCATTTTTTCATTTCACTTCTTGACTATCTATCACAGGCTTGGGGACCCTAAAATTCAAGGGCAGTTTAGACACTCCCCAAATGGCCCTATTTCTTGCCGAGAGGCATGTTGCGTCAATGGAAGATTTTTTTTGCCACAAGTTTTTGGCAATTTGAAAAAAAAAATTTTGTTCTTTATTATATACAAAGTTGTCACTTTATTGAGATATTGTGATGATTAAATGTGGAATTACACCCTTAAAACCATTCTGCCTCTTCTACCGAGCATGGGGATACCACAGGTGTGAGACTTTTTTGGGAATCTACTAGGAGCACAGATTTGCAGCTATTTGTTTATACAAAGTTGTTTGGCTGGTGATCTAGAACCCAGGAAATCACAATGGAAAACAAATGAGGAAATTTTGTTTTCCTTTTTTTACACAACATTGTCACTTTATAAAGATATTTCTCACACATGCCATGGTTATATGTAGAATTACACTCCTAAACACATTTTGCTTCTTTTCCAGAGCATAGGGATACTACATGTTCGAGACTACAGGAGCCCAAAACCCATGAATTCCATCAGGCTTTCAAAGGGCGTAATTCACAGGTTTAGGTTCAGATTAAGAGGACCTAAAATCCAAGGACAGTTCAGACATCCCCATATGACCAATTTTCTCGAAAGTAGTAGTAGTGGAGTCAATGGAAGATTTTATTTTTTTCCACAAGTTTTTGGAAATTGAACAATAATACGATTTTTCCTTTTTGTTTTACTCAAAGTTGTCACATTAGTGAAATAATTCTCACACGTCATGGTTATATGTGTAATTACACCCCTAAACACATTATGCTTCTTGTCCTGAGCATGGGGGTACCACGTATGGAAGAATTTTTTGGGAATGTGTACACAAGCCCAGAAGCAATAAACTCAATCAGGTTTTCAAAGGGCTTAATTTTCTCATTTCACTTCCTGACTACCTACAGTATCAAAAGTTTAGCTGCCCTGAAATTCAAGTTCAGTTTAGACACCACCCAAATGACAAATTTTCTCAAAAGTAGACATCCTAAGGTGCTGAGAGTCATGTTGACTCAATGGAAGATTTTATTTTTTTGCCACAAGCTTTTGGAAATTGAAAAAAAAAAAGTTTTTTTCTTTTTTTAATACACATATTTGTCACTTTAATGAGATATTCCTCACACATTGCATGGTTATATGTGGAATTACATCCCTAAGAACATTCTGTTTCTTCTCCTAAGCATAAGGATGTCACATGTGTGAGACATTTTTGAGAATCTAGCTGTGTAAAGGTGCCCAGAACCAATGAACTCCATCAGGTTTTCAAAGGGCATAATTTTCTCATTTCACTTCCTGACTAACCTTCACAGGTCTGGAGGCCCTAAAATGAAAGTACAGATCAGACACCTCCTAAATGACCCCATTTCTTGAAAGTAGACAGCCCAAGGTATTTTCTGAGAGGCATGTTGAGTCATTGGAAGATAATATTTTTTGCCAAAAGTTTTTGGATATTGAAAAAAAAAAAAAAAACGTTTTTTTCTTCCTTTTTATACACAAATTTGTCACATTATTGAGATATTCCTCACACATTGCATGATTATATGTGGAATTACATCCCTAAGCACATTCTGTTTCTTCTCCTGAGCATAAGGATACCACATGTGTGAGACATTTTTGAGAATCTAGCTATGTACAGGAGCCCAGAACCAATGAACTCCACAAGGTTTTCAAAGGGCGTAATTTTCTCATTTCACTTCCTGACTAACCTTCACAGGTCTGGAGGCCTTAAAATGCAAGGACAGTTTAGACACCCCCTCAGATGACCAATTTTCTCAAAAGTAGACACCCCAAGGTTTTTGCAAAGAGGCATATTGAATCAATGGAAGATTTTATTTTCCACCACAAGCTCTTGGAAATTGAAAAAAAAAAAAGGATCTGGTGAACGCGATGGGTACTTGAAAATAACAGATTAGGGTAATTAAAGTGCCTGCATTTTTAAGCAATAAGGCTCTATCTCTGTTGAGAAGTTTTGTCTGTGCTCTACGTGAGTGCAGTACAGTT